CCTCCAGTGTGGGGAGAGCCTTAATGGTGTTGGCAGGATGACAGGAGCATAGCTGTCATCACTTTACCAAGCCTGAGCATTAGAAACATGGCTCTAACCACCAGTGCTACATGAAAACTGAAAGCACCCTCAAAGTACTGGTCTTTCGCACGTGAGGTTTTACAGAACCTGACAGTAAAACAGGTACAGGCTTCAATGACAAAATGTACTAATTTCCTTTTGAAATTAGTTCCTGAGCACTAATTGTCTTCCTTGTCCATCAGTGTCTTCTTTCCTTTGGTTCTACCTTCTTATATATCCAGCTAGAATAGAACTGGACTCTCCTGCCATGGCTGCAGGGAGAGGAGAGAGGGAATGGCCTTGAGCTGAGCCAGGGCAGAGTCAGATTGGATGTGAGGAGAAATGTTTTGCCTGTTGTGGTGTTGAGGCCCTGGGATATTGCCCAGGGAGGTGGTGCAGTCACCATCCCTGGAGGTGTTTCAGAGGTGTCTGATGTGGCACTGGAGGATCTGGGTTAGGGTTTGGGGGTTCCAGCAGTGACAGGTTCATGGTTGGACTCGATGATCATAGAGGTCTCCTCCAGTCTTGATGGTTCTGTGATAATAACTTTAAATCCCAGCTCTCTTTTTATGTCCATTGCTGCAATCAAAACCCCAAAAGCTTGGGGAGCTTGGAACATTTCCTCCTCCCACCCCCCCCGAATTTTCACTGAAAATAAATGTTATCTCTCCAGGTGGAGAAGTTTGGGAGTGTAACTTGGCATTATGTCTGCTCAGAGGCAGAACTGTTGGAAGGTTTCTGAGCATTATGATTTGGTACAAATCACAGAATCACAGAATTTTAGGGATTGGAATGGAGCTTAGAGCTCCCCCAGCCCCAACTCCTGCCCTGGGCAGGGACACCTCCCACCAGAGCAGGTTGCTCAAGGCTCATCCAACCTGGCTGTGAACACTGCCAGGGTTGGGGCAGCCACAGCCTCCCTGGGCACCCTGGGACAGGGTCTCACCACCAGAACAGGCAAAACTTCTACCTAACATCTAACCTCAATTTCCCTCCTTCAATTTGTGCCCATTGCCCCTTGTGCTGTCCCTGCAGCTCCTAACACAGATCCCTCTGCAGCTTCCCTGGAGCCCCTTCAGCTCCTGCAAGGTGCTCTGAGCTCTCCACACAACCTTCTCTTCTCCAGGCTCAACAGCCCCAACTCCCTCAGCCTGTGCTCACAGGGAGATGCTCCAGTGCTCTGAGCAGCTCTGTGGCCTCCTCTGCACTTGCTCCAACAGTTCTATATCCTTTTTATGTTGAGGGCATCAAAATACAACAGTGCTGCCTGTTTGCAGTTTAACTTCCACTTCTTTAGCCTAGCTTTTTGTATGAGAGGCAAGTAAGATGTTCATTTGAAGATATACCTTTCACTTTATTTTCCTTTTTTCTTCTCTTACATAGAATTCTGGGATTGAAAAAGCATTTTTGTTTGACGTAGTCAGCAAGATCTATATTGCAACAGACAGTACTCCAGTGGATATGCAAACTTATGAGCTCTGCTGTGACATGATAGATGTTGTGATTGACATTTCTTGTATATATGGGTAAGTAAATTGTGACTGTTTTTCATAAAACTGTGCCTGAATAGGCTTGAAATTAGAGTGATGTGGGTTTAAACAGCAATGAGAATGATGTGGGTATGAACTGTAATGAGAATGTGCAATTTGTCAGGACAGGGGAGAAGGAGGAAACAGGTCTGAGGTACAGATCCCTTCCCAGCAACAAGCTCCCTACTCAGCCTCCTTTGTGAACACGTTCCTCTTTCTATGCTAATAATTTCATTTGGGGGAAGGAGTGGGAAGGAACCAACCTAAAATACAAAGAATTTGCTTTTTGTTCCCCAGCACCGAAGTCAACATGAGGATATCTTCCCTTTTAAAAAGATTGGGGCCATGTTCAGTTCTGTTTGATAGTTAGTGGCCTCTGATGGCCTCAGAGAATTGCTTCACTCTGACTGCAGTTCTCTGTTTGTCTTCTTTTCCCAACACAACCTTTCTGGGGTTTTTGGACAGTCAGCTGTCACTGCTCAAGCAAGGTGACTGAATTTGGAATTATCAGTGCAGACTTAGTGTTCCACATGTTTTAGATAAGTCACAGTGTGTGGATTAAAAGAAAAAAAAAAGCCTTGTGGTAAATGGTTGGTAACTAACAGAGAGGACAAAATAAGGCTCCAAGTTCAGACACTTGGCAATGAAACAATCTGATTTCTAGCCCCAGATCTAAGATTTGGGTGTGATTGGATAAATGATTTAATCTCTTCTTGGCTTACATAGTGTGTGGTTTGAAGGAAAGCCTCCCTGAAAGGTTAAGATGAAAATTTCATTAAGCTGGAGATGATTTGGTGTAAGAACCAATGTAGGAGGACTTGCCTTAGCTCACCTGGTGGCTTATTTCTTTTGTTTCTTTGTTTGCTTTAGGCTTAAAGATGATGGCACTGGAACTCCTTATGACAAAGAGTCAATGGCAATCATAAAGCTGAACAACACAACTGTCCTTTATTTGAAAGAGGTGACAAAATTCCTGGCTCTTGTTTGTTTTGTCAGAGAAGAAAGCTTTGAGAGAAAAGGTATTTTCCCCTTTCCTGGTGTTGCATTACTTTTGCCTTATATTAGCAAGTTAATGAGTAACTGTGGTGGTTATTAGCTGGTAACAGTCTCCAGCTGTGTGATAACTACCAAAGGTAAGTGCAGCCTGAAAAGTTTACATAACATGTGTGAAGGCATGAAGGATTTGTGCTGGCATTAAGATAAGATGAATTCAGAAATGTATTTGATAACTTTCTGATCTGAAAGCATTGGGAAGTTTACATCCAGTGCAGTAGAGCTTCCATCTGCCACAGTAGTTTATCTTGGCTGACATTGATTTGTACCTGTTGACACCAACACACACCTTTGGAACAGCTTGTTTGCCCTAACTAAGGGAAAGTGATTGAAACTGGCTGAGAGTAAGAATTATGTTCCTGCTTTTCTTGTATCTGAAAGGTAACTTTTGGGAAACTGCGTCTTTGGGACCCAGGCAGCTTTCATGTTTTGCAGTTAAAGTGAATAAAATGTCTTGGTTATCCTTCTCACCCTGGTCAAGGTCAATACTGAAAGCTTAGTTCCTGATGTCCCTGCTCACTGGCATGATGTTCACTGAGTTCCTGGTCTCAGTGAAATGTCCAGAGACCAGAATTCAGCTGTGGAAGAGCAAGCTGTGATCTGGGCTGGTGTTCCCCATGCTGTGATGTTAATTCACCAGTCAGTGTTGGTGTGTTGGTGCCTGTAGCACTCCCACCATGTCTGCTGGGCTGTTTGACAGGCCCTTGAGCTTTCTCTAGAACTTCAGCTGCTCAATAATACCTGCAGTGCTTTTATTGCATAGGAGTGTTGGATGCAGTCAAGTAATTTGTCTGTTGTAAGCATAAAAAGTGTCACTTCCACATATTTCCTAACAACAGCCTCCCTGGGCACCCTGGGACCTCACCACCCTCACAGTAAAAACTTCTGCCTAACATCCAACCTCAATTTCCCTCCTTCAATTCGTGCCCATTGCCCCTTCCCTTGTCCCTGCAGCTCCTAACACAGATCCCTCTGCAGCTTCCCTGGAGCCCCTTCAGCTCCTGCAAGGTGCTCTGAGCTCTCCACACAACCTTCTCTTCTCCAGGCTCAACAGCCCCAACTCCCTCAGCCTGTGCTCACAGGGAGATGCTCCAGTGCTCTGAGCAGCTCTGTGGCCTCCTCTGCACTTGCTCCAACACTTCCATGTCCTTCTCACACTGAGGGCACAAGAACTGTGTGCAGGATTCCAGAATATGTAGAATATAAGCAATTAAATACTAAATTATAAATGCATCATCTAAGCTATTTTTTCATTGCCTAATTTGTTTGTCTTTATTAACATGGGAAGCATTTGTGTCTCTCTAGGATTAATAGACTACAACTTCCACTGTTTTCGAAAAGCCATACAAGAGGTGTTTGAAGTGAGAATGAAAGTCGTGAGGTCTCGCAAACATCAGAGCCACATGCAGAAAGCTAAAAGAGCCACTCCCAACGGGACACCCAGAGTGCCACTGTAGCTGAGCTGTCCTGGCAGGGTGGCAAGTTCTCGTGAAGCTGATGTGACTCCTGCATCTCATTGCACTGAGCAAGAGGCAACCCAATGGGACTGGTGTATTCCAAGAGTTCTCCCTGAAGGTTCAGCAAGCACTGTTGAAATATTTTTATCCAATCAGTTGGGTTTTTTTCATATAGTGAGCACTTTGAGCAAAAATGTTGTATATATATAAGCATTGAGGTGAACACTTGTAAGGATTTTCTTAATATATGCTGTAAACCTTTTTTTCATGCCATATTGAGAGAAAAAGAAAAACAAACAGCTGTGACAGAAATACTGGGTACATAATTTGCACTTTTTCATGTTTTCCTTGTGGAGTTGGACTTTGATAAACTTAGTTTTTATGGTGATTTTTGATGCATGGTGTCAGGTAAAATGTATGCTGTAGTTTCTTTACCTGCTACAATCAAATTGGGTAGTAAACAATTGAGAAAACTCGGGACAATGACTTTTAAAATTTGTGACAGCTAATGCCTAGCATTCATACAGATCTAATTTCCTATATTTTTCAATTTGTAAACTGAAGAGTAATTTTGAAGTATTACAGCAATAAGCACCTCACCAGGAAGCATAACTGGTAGGTAAATATCAGCTTTTATAAAACAAGGCTCTTGGCCAAATCCCATCTGGATTTCTCCATAACACTGGTCGTGCCCTCTCTTGGGTCTGTTTTTATTATTTACCTCAGTATATACCACTAAAATACCTTTCTATAAAGATAATTGTTTTGTAAAATGGCTCTATGTTGCACTGGTATTTTTCTAAGGCTTCAGAGGAGGGTGTTGGATCTGTAAGGCTGAATTTCCATAGCTGAGTTTGTTTGGAGAGCCTGCACATGTACAGTTGGCACAGTGAAGAATCTGTATGTATTTCTACCCTGATGTACTATTAAGAAGTGGCAAAGATGTGAGCACTGGGTTCTGGTCCCCTCCAGGGGGGACAGCTGTGATTGAAATCAAGAAGAGACCATTAAAATGAGGACTGGACAATCTACCTCTGTAGCAATCAGTGTACATCACTGCTGTTTGTTTTAATGTTCAGTATGGGCAGATTTACCACAGGATCACCCAGGACAGTAGAGAAGTATCAAAGAAGGAACACTTCCTTTCCAAGTTCTGTATTCAGTTATTTTTTTTCCCCAGTCCTGCTGCAAACCAATTGCATTCCCAGTCCAGTGCTGATGTTGGCAGCTCTTGGGAGTGGGAAGAGCTGGAAATGAATGGGAAGCAGCTTGCCATGCACCACAAACAGATAAGGGGGAGATGGATCTCAGTCATAGCTACTCTGCCCCAATGACCTCTAAGATCATTGAGTCCAACCACGAACCTGTCACTGCTGGAACCCCCAAACTCTAACCCAGATCCTCCAGTGCCACATCAGACACCTCTGAAACACCTCCAGGGATGGTGACTGCACCACCTCCCTGGGCAATCTATTCCAGCTAAACATTGAGGTTTTTCCCCTTTTTGTACCGAATGATGTGCATGACATTATAACATCATGATTTTTGTGCTACAGCTTTATCTCTGCCCTGTTCAAAGGGCAGATCATTAACACCAGAATTTCTTATTCAGATTCTAAATATTGATCAATAGCCACATGTGAATTTACTCACTTATGGATAGACACATCAACTTTGCCCATTTCAGCTGTGTGGAAAATAAGAAGTAAACTTCGTTGGGAAGTTCTTTTGGGCTGCTCTGCTATGGTGGCATATGGCTGACATCCCACTTGGTTTCTCACTGTGTTAATATTTGCACATTAGCTCATGCATGTATCTTCAATTAGCTACATTTTGAAAAGCCTCTAGCAGATTGGTTTGCTCCCTGATGCCTTCAGTGCTACCTTTCTCAGTTTGCTACCACTGTATTTCGTGGAGCTAAAACCTCTTGGGGCTGTCACCAGTGATGTTCCCCAGGGCTCAGTGTTGGGGCCACTTCTGTTTCACATCTTTACTGATGACCTGGGCTGTGGGAAATGTAATCTGTTTCAAGTCCTGTTCAGTGGGCAGAATGGGGCTGTGCCTTCTGGGAAGTCTAATAGAGCCAAATCAAAAGGTCCCAGGGGTCTTTTGTCTCTAAACCCTGTGCTGAGAGGTGGAACCAGACTCTGGTTCTCTGCAAGGCCCTTCTCAAAGGCTGAAACTTCCTCTGACGAGCCAAATAGTCTGATCCACAAATTGCTTCTTTCAATACTCCCTTTGCAGCTGCTTGAACTTCTTTCCATTGCCAGAATGCCATTCATCAGGCTGTCTTGGTCTCACATCCAAAGTGCTGACTGAAGCTCTGCAGCAGAGGCACACAAATCAACTCACTCCCACCAGTCCTGTTCCCCTTGCTCAGCACTCTGTCCAGTTCTGTTCCTCAAGTAATTCCATTTTACATTTCAATTCCACATTTTCTGTCCGTAAAGCAGCAGTCAATAGTCCAAACTCTGGATTTTTCATAAAGTCCATTATGCAGAAACTTGAGGATTGCCCACGAGTCCTTCGTGTCATTAAAGGTGCTCTAGGCAGTTCAATGAGTCCCTCATGTCATTAAAGGTGCTCTAGGCAGTTCAACTATTCAGAACAGCAGCAATATCCCATCTCACACCTTCCTGCTCTGGGTGGGTATCTGCCATATACCTTAGGACACCTCACATGGCACCAGATGCCTCTATGTTGCCATTGAATCAAGCCTTAGATTTCCACCAACTCCCTGAGGAACTCCTAGGTGTCCCAGATATCTCCAGGGGGCTGGTGAAGACAGCTGATAACTCAATATATCTTGGGTAATGACACAGTAAGCTTTAATCACCTCTACACCAATTGCTGAACACTTTCTGAGGAGCTTCAAATTAAGAGCCTGCTCCCCAGTCCTTCATTCCTGATGCTGAGTCAGTAGGAACTGTGGGCAAGACGGGCAGGAACATGCAAGTTCACATGAAAGTCATGAGTAACATTTTGGGAATGGATGGAGTGGAAAGACTGCCTGGTGGCAGTCCAACAGGCATAACCCTGGCTGCTTTCCCTCTGCCTGGTGTGTAATTGTGAGGACAGCTGCTCCCTTCCCAGAAGGAAGCTCATGGGAATAAGTGAAGGGGCACAGGGAGCAACTCACATAAGGAAAAAGGGACAAATTCTCAGGCCTGAAGCTCTGAAGAGGGAGGATCATGAAAAACATGAGTCACAGGCTGTGCCTGGCCTTTCTCCTTAAGAAATGGCACAGGAGCAAGATAATCTTTAATTGGAGTAGTTTGCAACTACTCTCCAACTATCTAACATGCTCTGCATTTTGCATGCTAAAAATCTGCACCAGAGAAAAATTCCTGCCATTATCTGCACCTGCTAAAGATAGAATGACTAGATCAGGGAAGTTCAGAGTCAGGAACAGCTGTCACTGGGACAGCAGCTTCAGCTTTGACTTGGGTCTCTGCACTTGTCCTCTGAACCAGGAAACCATCTGAACTATCACAGCAATGATGCCAGCGGGCTGTGAGTCAGTGACTGGTGTGACTGCTCCCATTCTCCAGGGAGTGAAAAAAACAAAGTGAAAATTGTGTACCTTTGTTTTGACTTCACCCTCTGGAACACTTTGCAGTAGTGCAATGGTCCAGATCAGGAACTCAATTGCTTGGGCAGTTAAAGCAGCCTGGTAACTTCTTTCTCTGTCCTCTTTCTTCCATTTCTGAAATAATGACAATTAAAAGTCAGCTGGCAAAGCTGCCCAGTTTGGGAGATGGCTGCCTTAAAATTAAGCTTGAAGAAAAGACAGAAATAGCTTTCCTGAGTAGCACCATGCATCTGTGCCATTGCTCCAGGGCACTGCTTACACAATGCCCTGCTTGCTTTTATCGTGTGAGGAGGAGGTGCACTTGTTGAATCCAGATTTACAAGGTCTGAATTCACAGAGAGGGTTTTAAAAGCTGAGACTGTGTTAGTCACCAAGGAGCACAATAATGATTTCTCTTCCAAGTGAGTCATATCTGTTCCCACAGACAATACAGCCATATTAATATTAGAGTCCTTAATTCCATTAGAGTTTAATTCTGCAGCCAACTGTCTGCATTGAAAGGGTAGCATTAGAGATGAGGCAAACCACTCCACATTCTGTGAATGGATAAAAGCAGGGTGTGATTCCTGTAGAATCATAGAAACATGAAGGCTGGAGGAAACCTCTAGGACCATTGTGTGCAACCATTAACTGTCACTGCTGGAACCCCCAAACCCTAACCCAGATCCTCCAGTGCCACATCAGACACCTCTGAAACACCTCCAGGGATGGTGACTGCACCACCTCCCTGGGCAATATCCCAGGGCCTCAACACCACAACAGGCAAAACATTTCTCCTCACATCCAATCTGACTCTGCCCTGGCTCAGCTCAAGGCCATTCCCTCTCTCCTCTCCCTCAGCCCTGGCAGGACACACATCCCACACCTCTCTCCAGCCCTGGCAGGAGTTGCAGAGAGCCAGGAGGTCACCCCTGAGCCTCTTCTCCAGCCTGACCAACCCAACTCCCTCAGCCCTTGCTCGTTTGACATGTTTACTAGACCTAATAGTCCATTTGAAAATTACAGGAGTCCTGTACTGCCAGCACTGCACAGTATCTGACAGCAATTCCCCCACACCCAGCCAGGCCACACTGTCCCTTCCTTAAATGGGGAAAATGTGCACCTCCTACCAGTGAATTTCTGTTGCTTTAAGACTATTCAACTTATTTTCAGTAGTGCTCAGCTGACATGTAGTTACACTGAGTATGTATCTGTTTTTAGCTAAAAACCCAAGTGTCACATTAACTGCAGGTGCTTCCTGCTTGAATGATATGACATTCTAAGTGCAGCCAGGGCCAAAGGCCAAGGGCAGAGCCCAGAAGGTGAAGCTGATCTCCACATTACACTTAAGTAGCTCATAACAACCATCACTCTATCTTATTCACATTTATAATACTGCTTTTAAAATGATCTACTAAAATCGATCCCAGAACTTTTGACATGGAAATCGAGATTTCTGAATGCAAAATCCTGCTGTCCTGCTTCCTGGAAGGGCAGGATTTGGTGACAGATGGTCCCAGAGCCCTTCTCCCTCTGCACAGCAAGATGAGAAACGAGGAAAGATGGGACATACCTGCTGAGAATGACCAAAATCATCTGTGAACTGATACCCAGTGCCTGCAGCTCACTGTCCTGAGCAGTCAGATCAGCTCTTGTCATCTAGAAATGCTGAGATGTCCTCAAGGCTACATTAAATGCCCTCTGGGTTGCTTCAGGTGCAAGAGCAAACCCCAAGGTCTGAAGCCATCCCTTCCCTTCTGCTGCTCATTATTGCTGCTTTGTATTATTCCTAGTGCTTTGTCCTGTGAAAAAGGACCATCACTTGGCCCCTTTGAGGATTCAGCTGCTTCTTAAGGTGGAGTAGAGTTGCTTTCTCTACTTAGTGCTGGTAGCACATCACTGTGCAACAGAACAGGGAACAGGAAGAGTCATGAAAACATGAGGAGCTGAAAGAAATGTACCTGCTCAAATGTGTTTTGTTTACAGCTGTTTTCCAGTGCTCCTCAATCAAAGAGAGAAAAAAGAGAACTAAGACCTCAAAATATGAAAAATAATTTTTAAAGATGATTATGAAGAATATAAAAGTAATATAGGTGAAATTAAGGACAACATGGGCTAGATATGAGTGTCAAGCTCATGCTGTTGAAAACAAGCACATAAGAGCTGAGCCAGGGCAGAGTCAGATTGGATGTGAGGAGAAATGCTTTGCCTGTTGTGGTGTTGAGGCCCTGGGATATTGCCCAGGGAGGTGGTGCAGTCACCATCCCTGGAGGTGTTTCAGAGGTGTCTGATGTGGCACTGGAGGATCTGGTTTGGGGTTTAGGGGTTCCAGCAGTGACAGGTTCATGGTTGGACTGGATGATCTTAGAGGTCTCCTCCAGCCTGGATGATCCTATGATT